TACCTATTTTTCTTTCTTGCCCACTGGTGTTAGTTGCCTTCATGTGTGCGCGCAGGGAAGATGCTGGTAGAAAAGTGCCAGTTTGATTCCAGCAACATATGTGATACATACTTTTAGGTACTACTAGAGTGTCAGTGGGGAGCAGCCACTGGATGTAATGTTTGCAGATGTATTGCTTGAAGTTGAACTGGGCTCCTGATGTTTGTGCTCATAATCCAATTTAACATCAAAATACCATTATGTGGTGAACTCTCAGATCCTTCCATATATGTCATGATGTCAGCACTTCTCCTGAAAAAAGTGATCATTGTATGTGGTGCGAAACTTCATGTTGTGACCATGTTAAAACTAATGATGCTTGATCACCTCTTGATTTGTTGTGTAGTTTTGTTGCAAATTATCATCCATCTTTTATGCTTGAAAAACTGCTTTTGTTTGAACGTTTCCACATGTAAATGGCAAAAAGAAAGCTTTGCCCATATTTTTTCTTACATGTCCTTCCAGCAGCTGTCCACCGCCTCTCCCTGCACTTCCAGTAAGGAGCTCAGGGTTCTTCCTTCCCCAACTTTGCAATAGTTTCTGACCCAGTTGAAATCCATGATGCTGACAATGTGTGACTGGCTCAAAGTTACCCTGCAAACTTCATAGCAATGTCAGATTTGAACCCAGATCCTAGTCCTAACACTCTGTCCACTGTACTGCTGTCTCTTCCTCCTATCCCTACTCCTGCATGTAGATTGGATATTGAAATCTCTTGTTTCCCACCACACCATCATTTTTTGGGTGATGTGTGATTTGGTAAACCAGGATTCCAAGCTACAGTATAATCCTGGATTTGTAGATAAAAGAACAAACAACAAAGTTTGAATTCATGTTTTGGATGTTATCATGACAAGCTGTGGAGCCAGGAAGTCTTTAATTTCTGTGCTGCACATTTGGTTAAGGAGTGTTTGAGCCCCAGGATATCCAAGACTTGAGTCCATGGTATGTTATGTGTGAATGCAGTCCTGGTGCATCTGAGACTTGGGCATGTTAGGACTTTCTTCTCTGAGCTGCAGCATCTCCCCTCTTTGCTTCTGAAAGTTTTCTCAGTGTTTAAAAATGGTCCAATTGAAAAAAAAAAGCCTTGGCTCAATTAGGATTTTTTGTTTTTGTAGTTATGTGTTCTGTAATAATAATGTACCACCCCAGGGGAAGAGGACTTGTTTGGGAGAAATAAATCCAAAGCTCTTTGGGGTAGGGTTGTCAGGTCCTATCTGGCTGCCAGTACTCCCAATTGTTCTTTGAGGTCTTCTTCTGTGTGCACAAGAGCATGTACCACGATGACGTCACCTGGAAGTGACGTCATCATATTTGTGTTGTTGGGGGTGATGCCCTAGGTTTTGGGCAAAACTCTATGGGTTTTTTGGCCTCAAAACCATAGAGTTTTGCCCAAAACCTAGAGCATCACCCCTGCCTTCAGAAACATGATGATATCACTCCTGGCACTGGGAGGGGGCCTCTTGGGGTGGGGCTTCCCCCTCCGGCCAGCTGGGCCACAGTGGATTAGGGGCCCCAAAATTGGGGGATCCCCTGGCCCCACCAGGGGAATGGCAACCTTACTTTGGGGTATACTGATCCAGTTGTTTGTATCCTGGTCTATACCTTTATTTAATGTATCTAAACATAACAACAAACTTTAGAATGAGCATGATGTAGTGATTAAGTGTGGTGGTCTCTAATCTGGAGAACCAGGTTTGTGTCCTCACTCCTCCTCTACATGAAATTGAAAGGGTATTGAAAACAGATCAGCCAATATCATAATGCCCCTATATAAATCAATGGTGCTACCTCATTTGGAATACTGTGTGCAGTTCTAGTCACCATACCTTAAAAAAGGATATTATAGCTTTGGAAAAAGTGCAGAAAAGGGCAACTCGAATGATAAAAGGGTTGGAACACTTTCCCTATGAGGAAAGGTTAAAGCGCTTAGGGCTCTTTAGCTTGGAGAAACGACGACTGAGGGGTGACATGATTGAGGTTTATAAGATTATGCATGGGATAGAGCAGGTAGAGAAAGAGGTACTTTTCTCCCTTTCTCACAATACAAGAACTCGTGGGCACTCCATGAAATTGCTGAGCAGTCGGGTTAGAACGGATAAAAGGAAGTACTTCTTCACTCAAAGAATGATTAACACATGGAATTCACTGCCACAGGAAGTGGTGGCAGCTACAAGTATGGATGGCTTCAAAAGGGAATTAGATAAGCCCCAAGGTATAGATAGGGACTTTGGGGCAAGTGATGCTCTGTCTTCTTGGTGCTTGGGGGGTCAACAGTGGGAGGGCTTCTAATGTCCTGGCCCCACTGGTGAACCACCTGATGGCACCTGGTATTTTTGGCCACTGTGTGACAGAGTGTTGGACTGGATGGGCCTTTGGCCTGATCCAACATTGTTCTTAAGCCTGCTGGGTGACCTTGGGCCAGTTCCAGTTCTCTCAGAAGTCTCTCAGCCCAACCTACCTCACAAGGTGCCTGTTGTGGGGAGGAGAAGGGAAGGTGATTGTAAGCCATTTGGAGATTCCTTAAGGTAGAGGAAAATGGGGTATAAGAACCAACCCTTCTCCTCCTCCTCCTCTTCTGATTTCACATAAGGCTTTCGTTTTCATCATTAATAATGTCTGAGAAGAATTTTCCAAAGGAAATACTGGCTGGGCTAATGTTTAAAAGTTCAAAGTAGTTACTTTGCAAAACTTTAGTAGCATGTCTAAATAAAAGTGAAAGATGTCCAGAAAAATAAAATGAACATCTTGTTTTTATTTACTCCACTTACAGCCTGTTTCACTAAAAATTCCAACATAGTCCAAGTAGGAAATACACAGGTTTTTTCGTATATGAATTTTTTAAAAAAGATGCACAATTCTATGTCTGCTGGTCCATGGGGTCACAAAGAGTCGACACAAAAACTTTGAGATTATCTTCTTTGCAAGGGAATCCAGGGGAAGGCCCTTAGCTCCATGGTAGAGCAGATGCAGTAGCTGACTGCAGTTGTATTTCTGCCAGGCACAAGAAGAAGAGTTGGGTTTTATGCCCCACTTTTCTTCACCCTAAGGAGTCTCAGAAGGGCTTACAATCGCCTTCCCTTTCCACCTTCCCTCCTCTCCCTCGTAGGCTTGCCCAGAGAAGTTCCAGGCGAGCCAGCCCACCTTTCCCTCCCCTTCCTTGCCAGCTTCCCCCCTCCCCCCATGCTTTCAGTGGCTCACCCGGAGATTGTCCAGGTGAGCCAGCTGACCTTCCCTCCTCTCATTCACTGGCTTGCCCGGAGCAGGAGGTGAGCCAGCCCACCTCCCCTTCCTCACCAGAGTTGCTTTGGGTGAGCCAGCCAAGCCTTCCTCCTCTCCCTCCTTGGCTTGCCCAAAGCTGCTCCAGGAGGATCCTCCGAGGCCTCCCCCAACCACTTTCTCTGCCCTCCCCCCGCTTTGAGTGGTTTGCCTGGTGTGGCTTCAGGCTCTGGCGGGCCAGGCCTGGTGGTGGCTCCCAGGCTCTGCTGCCAGTGCAGCAGCAGCCTCCACCCCGGGGACTTTCTAAAGTAAATGCATTGGTAAAATAATGGAAAGTGTTTGTATCCCTGTCTCTCTGCATCGCACACGGATAAATTGTGGTGCCCCTGGATTCTCTGTGTACCAGGATTTACACTAGTACCAGGGCTTTTTATCTGGGAGAATGCGCCAAAACGGAGTTCTGGAACCTCTTCAACCAAATTCGTCTATAAGTTTATGAATTTTGATTATACAGATTGAAAACTTCATTCCCTTCTTGAAATTGGAAAGTCTACGCCCTTGCATCACATGGTATTTTATGCGCCAGCACCGTGAACTGACCATACTGTGAGGATGGCAGCCAAGGTCACCATTTGAAATGCCAATGTCCTATTTAGGGATTTAGCTTTATCTTAATTTTGGTTTGCTATTGGATGTGAATATTTCTGACACTTAATAAGCTGTAATGTGTTTGATAATAACATATTAAAGAATTCAGTGTTAAAGAGTTTAACTTGGCATACTGATATGAATGCTAGTCCTGTTGTGACTACTGGAGAGTACTTCTGTCTAAATATATTTCCTTTTACTACAAAAAGTATTTTCTAATTTCACCCCCCACACACACACATACTTCTCAGATAGAAAAATTAAATCCATGTGCTAAGGTTGCATGCAGTGGTGCATCTCACTGTTAAGCAGTGCATATATCTGGAAAACCGGATGTGTTTATGGGGAAAATGTCAGTCTGCATGCTTTATTCATTTTGTTTTGAATCATTAGTCAGCTGAATTCCTTTTAAAGGGTATGGAAGTTCTAGGTGGCATACAGCTAACAGAACAAAGCCATTAAAACAGATGCATTAATAAAAACAGGCCAATGCCAGTGTACAAACATACCTGCCCACTCTGGTCATCTTCAGAGGTCCAGCTTTGGATGTCCTTGCCATCTCAGGTTAGATGGGTTGCAAGCCAAGAAAGGGCTCTTCTTGGTTATGGTGCTGAAACTGGGGGGGGGGTGTTTGGTGGGTTTTTCTGCATTTTTGTGCAAGTGTGTGTATCTGTGCCCATACCTGGAAGAAGAACATGATATTGGATTTATACCCCGCCCTTCACTACCCAAAGGAGTCTCAGAGCAGCTTACAAATTCCTTTCCCTTCCCCTCCCCACAACAGGCACCCTGTGAGGTAGGTGGGGCTGAGAGAACTCTGACAGAAACTGCTCTTTTTCACGAACATCTGTGCCAGAACTATGGCTTGCCCAAGGTCATCCAGCAGGTGCATGTGGAGTAGTGGGGAATCAAACCCGGTTCTCCCAGTTTAGAGTCAGCACACTTAACCACTACACTAAACTGAGTCATGGCAACCTCTGGCGATTCCTACTGGGGCATGGAGGATGTTCAGAGAAGCATCTTGATAGCTTGCCTCTGCCTCCCAGCCCTGGTATTCTTTGGAGGTCTCTCATTCAAATATTTGCCAGGGTTGGCCTTGCTTAGCTTCCAAGATCTGGCGAGATTGGGCTTGCCTGGGTTATCCAGGTCAGGACTGTGCCGAAACTTTAGAACTCCTTCCCCTGGGAGATTTGTCTATCTTCCTTTACTGTTGTCTTCCACCAGTGGGTTATGACTTCTTTGTTTTCTTGAGTGTTCCCCTACTGACTACTTTTGACCCTCTTTCCTGCTGGTGGTGTTATGTGTATTTGTGTCTTATTGAATTGATTAAATATTTTATACATAGTTATATTTTAAACATTATTTTAATGTCTTGATGTTTTAATATTGAAATGTTCTAACATTTCGATGTTTACTGCCTTGGGTGAAAAGGCAGCATAGTAGTGTTTTAAATAAATAGATAAGAGGGTATAAATATATACTGGGCAGCCTAGAAGGAAACAGAAAAAATTATCTTCCAGCCAGAAGCAGACCGTAAACATTTAAAAGATAAGTCCCTTAGCTGTATGATCTTTGACGTGGTCTCTGTGCTTCACACCCATGGGATCTAGTGCGCATGCGCTGGATCGATCGGTGCTGTAGCAAGCTCTTTTAACGGATTTTCGTGTCCAGTCCCTCGGGCATGTGCAGGAACCCCACTGCGCATGCCCAGAGGGGTGGGCATGGACACCCCGCCAGTTCCTTTCTTACCGCTGCGTTGAGTAGACGTATTTTTCGTCGGTCAGATCGGTTCGCTTTCGGCTTTCGCCTCACAGCTCTTACGAATTAATTCCTTATTTTAATTTTCCTCTCTTTTCTCTTTTTATTTGTTTGTTCTTCAAAAAAACTTAAAAAAACATTTATTTTCTGCTGAGGGGGAGTCTACGATTACCTCAGGCCTTTGGGCTATCCCCCCCCAAACGTCCCCTCTTCTTCGCTTTCTTTTATGGAGAAGAAGTGGGGCTTTTTCAATAGGTGCAAGGGTTGCGGCAGCAAACTTGCTCCTCCTGACCGTCATACCCTCTGCATTTTTTGTCTCGGAGAGTCTCACCGGCCAGAGTCTTGTCATCACTGCGCTCGTTTTTCTAATCAAACGCAGAAAAACCGAGCTGTGCGCCTTAAAGTAGTGCTGCTTGAATCGGCCCTTACTCCTACCTCAGCGATGGAGGAGAGACCATCAACATCGACAGCTCCGGCATCGAGATCTGCCTCCGATGCCGGCCGCCCAACACTGAAGCTCCCGGCATCGACAGTGCAATCTTCCGCTTCCACGCCAATCAAAAAGAAGGCCAGGGCAAGTAAGGATCGCAAGTCCACGAAGAAGGGCACCTCAAAGTCCCTTAAGGCGGCGAAGAAGGGGAAGGAAGCGGTGCCTGCACTGGGTGATGCCCCTACAGTGCCTCCCGCTCCAACGGCAGTATCGATATCGGAGGCCCAAGTCCCTCCACCATACCGACCATCCAACTATTGGATTCCCCCATCCAACAAGTGGAGCGTCTGTACTCCGACATCGAGACGGTAGAGCTCATAAGTCACCAGATGGGTGCTGAGCCTTCTCCCTCTCCTTCTACTTCGTCGGCATCGATGATATCGGAGGCTCCCGATGTTGAAACACATCGGTACCGACACACTTCTTGCAGTACGCAATGTCATCCTCCGTGTCTCCATGTCCAATCTGTCGATATCGACGACCAAGACTACAGGGACGGTTCTCACAGACAGACAATTGCTTTGTCTCCCAGACGTCCACGGTCCAAAAGTCGATCCCCCCAAGTCTTCCTGCCCCCTCCACCACCGATATCTTGGGATCAACAACAGTTGAGGTACCTGTACGGGGCTTACCCAACATCCATGCTGTGGTTGACTCCGGCGGGCTATTCTGATTGGGATCGCTATTCATCCCACTCTGTTCATAGATCGAGGTTGCCCCACAAGTCGAGACCTTCGGCCTCTCTGTCTCATCCTCCTGCAGACGATCCTTCCCACCATAGTCTGGAACCAAGTCGTCCTCCCAACCCTTAGGTCACTCCAAACCCTGTCGTTCCACCAAAACCTATAGCTTGTCAAGAGGACACTTCGGTCCAAATACCACACCAAGACTCCTCTGACTCCATGGAAGAAGACTCGGATATGGAAGCATCTGAGGCTCATACCTCTCCCGACTATAACTCTCCCAACCAGGATGTCGCTGAGGACCTACCCATATCCCAATCCGACAACTTTACGTCATACACAGATTAGTCAAAAGAATGGCCCACTCTTTAGGCCTCTCTGTCATCCAGCCACATCCGCAGGCAACAGATGCTGTTTTTTATATAGTCCAGCTGGATACATC